CAAAGACCCAATCCAAAAATGGGCATCTGAAATGAACAGACATTTCTCTGACAAAGAAGTAAAAGCAGCAAATAAACATAAGAAAAAATGTTCAACATCACTGGTCATTTGAGAGATGCAGATGAAAATAACACTGAGATTCCACCTCACGCCAGAAAGAATGGCTGCTATCAAGAAATCAACCAATAACAAATGCTAGGCTGTTGTTTTGAAGCCAAAAAGTCTGATAGCATTTGGAATATTTAGAACAAGAAAAGAAAAGATGAAAGAAAGAAAAGGGAAAGAGATCATGTTTTTATTTTTCTGCTTGTACTTTTATGCAACTTTAAACCTTGAGACTGTTAAATTTCGTTAGGAGATATCTAACTTTAGATTTTCCCCCAAGTTTTTAATTTTTATAATTATATTAAATAGATACTTCCTCTCTAATGACTCAAAATCCAGGAGAGCTTTTGCCATTGTGTTTTACTTTATTTTTCCCCAATCTCTCCACAATGCATTTCTTGGGTCTCTTATCCACAGTTCCCCAAGTCTTCTCTGGATTTTTCTTTTGGTCCAATTGTATGGCATTCTGGGAAATCCATCAACTGTTTTTCTTTGGTGCTGCTCTGGTTATAATTTTGTCTAAACAAGAACACTTTAGAGAGTGAAGGGAGGAGAAGTAACAATAATGGCCAGGTCTTTATTGCTACATGCCAAGCAGTGCCCATGGGCTTCCTGGGGGCAGGCACATGTCCACCTTACCGATCCAGTTCTCCTTTTGAACTTTTAAAAATAATTTTGCAGCCAGTTGTCTTCTTTTTCACAGAAGCCTGCCCTTAAGTCATAGAATCGCACCCTCTGGGATCTCTGGGGCTATCTGTGGTCAGCCTTGCTGCAGCGGGCAGAGGGGATCTACAATGCTCATTCGCGGATCTCTTTTCTGGCTTCATCTGAGGCCTCTTGACCATGTTTTCTGTGCACATTGAGGTTCTTGGTTGGAATTGTGCATCTAGGAGAGGGGCTGGGGTAGGAATGCCCAGCCCCCTGCAGATCCTGACACCAAGACCTTGGGCAGAGTCGGCTGTCCCTAAGTGCTTGTGGCTATTGGCAGCACAGCTTCCCTCCAGCTCTGGCCCACGGTCCTCTCCGACATCTCAAGACCATCTCCTCTGGTATGGGGCACTAGTGGGACAGCTGGGACAGCAGGACTGAGTGCCCTATGCCAGTGCCCCCATGGCCCAGAGACTCCTCCGATGTGAGCTCCAGGGCTCAGAATCCTGAGGATGGCAGACACTCCATTTAATAATCATGCTTTCTGCCAACTGAGTAACACAGCCTTGTCTTTAGCTTTCATTTCCATGTGATCCATTTATATTCAGTTTTCAAAATTCTTCAGTGTTCTGCTCTGCTGTTACCTTTTCCTGGTAGCCCACAGGTACTATTTATTTTTTGTATTTCTTCTATCAAGAAATGGTTGTGCTTGGAAAGCTGTTTTGGATAGAAATATGCTTTAAGAAGTAGGACCTGGTGATTTCCAGATAGGAGCAAAGTGAACTATCTGGCAGGAGCTCGCCAGGGCAGGGTGACCTATATATAACATGCAGGCTTTTGTGACTCAGGGATAGGGCCACTGGAAGGAAGGGAGTGGGCAGATTCTGGACGCATTATTGACAGGACTGAGGATCCTGGGTAGGACCCTCAGGGTAGGGTGCCCAGGGTAGGTGCCAGTAGGATGCTGGGAAATTTCTTTTCCATGGAGACATCTACTCGTATGTCACTGGGCAGTATGGCTCCTGCCAGTGGGATGCTTGAATCCTGGCTGCTCTTACTGAAGACATTGACATCTTCCAAAATATTCATGAAACTTACACTAGTGACACAGCCTATTCTTGGTACAGGGAGCCTCATAGGGAATCACTCCAAATGTCTGAGAGATAGAACAGATGTTCCTACTCACAAACACACCAGCAATGCTCCAAGGAGCCACATGCTTGGTTTTAAACATTCACTTGGACAAATTCAAAATTACAAAGGGCAGCTGAGGTTAATAATGTCTTAGAAACTCAGTGTAAGTGATGTCTGGAAGACTAGGTGGCTGTAGAACCAAACCATTCATTTTCAAATTTGCTGCTGTGGACTGATTTATCCTTCAGGGTTGAAGTTAATGATATGGCTTTATCAATGGGGTGCATGTTATTTATTATTTTTCTAGTTCTGGGGATACTCACTTACAGTTAGGTATGAGTTGTTAACAAGTCCTACATTGGGGCAGAATGTAAAAGGATGCACTGGAAAAACTGTTGGTTGGGACACTGAGGCGTATGACTAGTATTAATCTTTCTGTTAGGCAGATTTCCTCTGCTGTGAAAACCAATTGATAAGGAGGAATGGTTGATTTTGGCTCCTGGTCACTTGGCGCCATTGGTACTGGGGTTGGCGGTAAAGCAGAAACATCAGGGTGAAAGAGCATGGGAGAGAAAAGCTGCTCATTTAGGGTGGCCTGGAAGTGGAGGAGAATGAGAAAGGAGCTTGGGGAGGAGTCGTAACACCCCTTCTAAGACGCACCCCAATGACTTAACTTCCTTTACCCAGGCCCTGCCTGAAAAGGTTCAACCACTCCCCAAAGCACCACGGGCAGGTGATTAAGCCTTCAACATGTAGGCTTTTCAGGAACACGCCAGGTCCAATCCATGATGTCCCTGGACCATGGTGAAGGAACCTGGCAATTCTTCTGGTACGATGCAAAAGCTGTGTGACAATCAGAGGTGCCTACCAGGTGGCAGCCCAAACGTGGGCTTCCTGCAGGAGAATCTCTGGAGTGGCCACTTCCACTCTTTTGAGCAGCAGTCACCGTGTGTGTCTTTGCACAACATGCTGTTGTTTTTGTTTCAGCTGACCACAATGCTTTAGTTTAGTCCCCGTAAAAAAAAAAATAATCTGCCTTATTCTAATCAGCGTTATGAGGTGAATTTTAGGATGCATCTTAGCACCCAGATAGGTCCCATCTCAGACAGTATGGAATGTGAAGCTTCATCAGTTAGTATTCATTATTCTCAAGGGATTGCACCAAATGTGACAGATGAACGACATGTAGCTGCTACCTCCTCCCCACTTGTGTGGTTGGCAGATATCACCAATCAACCCTTCATGACTTCCATGACACCACCACTCCGTCCCTCGGGACCACCATGACACCTACCAGCCCATCTGCCATGTCTTTAAATCTCATGGAGCCTGGACTTGGCCTTATGTCCAATAAAGTTGGTCTCCTAGTCCCATGCTTCATCCCTGCCTCATTCCCTGCTCTGTGATGACTGTGGCTCAGGCAGGAGTAACATGACACACTAGCACCACGGTGTATGTTTCCTCCATTGACTTTGTTTCCCAGGGGCAGGATGTACACAGATACCTGGGAGCACAGCACACTGACAGAGGGTCAGGGGAGTCACAGACAGGAGCAAGCAAGGGCTAAGGAAACCCAAGGAAATGTGGTTATCGAGTAGCATTTGGCAAGAGCCAGCCGTAGAGGAACTCTGGGTATGTGCACTCCTGAGGCCACTACGCATCTCTCCACATCTATAGGTGGATGGTCTAATGTCCTGTGGCTCTGGTGCCTGTGGTCATGCCTGGAACTTGCTAACCTGCTAGTGAGTGCACAAGGGACTCCAACCCGGCTCAGTGGGGTGTAAGAATGCACTTGTCGATTTGGAGTTCATACAAAGGACTCCAGTTATTAATTTCATGGAATTTGCCATCTCTCACCTCAGTCTCAATTTTGCACCGAGTCTGTAGAAAGTGGATGTCAAGAAGTACTTAACTGATTACTAATCCAATAACAGTTAGGACCCTAATGATAAATTAGTTAAATTTACCAGGCACTTACTGTGCCTCCAGTGCACAGTAAATACCTTACAGGCATTCGTTTAATTCATCCTCTGAATGACCTCATGGGGCAGTCACCACCAGTGCCTGATGAGGACATTGAGTGTCCAGCAAGATGAACCAATGTGCCCAAGGTCCCAAAGGCCTTAAGTGGCAGAGTCCAGATTCTAACCCAGGTGCATCCAATCCTTACTCAGCAGTTCCCTATCATTCTCACTTTGGACGACTCTTCTGTGTACTGTGATTGGGGTGATGAGACATGCACATGTTTGGGATAAATTATCAAGGAGATGGATCACAGGTACACGTTTTTCTGAGATTTCTTGTATAACTGCAAACTTTTATGTTTGAAAAATGGATCTCTGAAATTGTTTTATTACTTTTCTAGATGACCTAGATTTGTTGATGTGTGAGACACCGCAACTAGCTTATGGAGACTAGGACATGGGCTTGGGTGCCTGAAAGTCACAGCCTTCTGAAGATGAGCGAGTGGGTGCACAGCACTCCCACCCAGGAGCCATGGCATTGGGACCTGCATCTGTTCCACCATGAGCCGTGCTCCTATGCAGCCACCCCTTCTCACTGTGTCCTTGCACACCCCAGTACCCACCTGCAGCAGCCGTGAGCACGGGCTGCAGCCACTCACCTTCACACTGCAGCAGGAAGAAGTCAGTGCTGTGGCTGAAGGAGGCACTGAAGTAGGTGCAGCTCTCCACCAGGTCACAGGACAGGCACTGCCTGTTGAAGTTGCCCACTGTGTTGGCACTGGAAGACAAGGACCCGCGTGAACCAGGGCAGTGGGTGCCTAGTCTGTGGTCAAGGCCAGGACTCCAGCTGGGTACTCAAGCTGAGGGATGTCTCTTCTACAGGGGTCCCTGCAGGCCCCTGCTGCTGCCTTCCCTGGGCCTCACTCCTGCCCATCTCCTTTCTGGGGTACCTGAGACACCCAGGTCCATACCACCACCCGAGCCTCCCTCCCATCTTGGAGTTCTCAGCACCTTTGCTCCCGAGGTGATTTCTACCTGCACACCTACGGCTCAGCTCTGTGTGTGAGAGAGGGTGCTGTAGCTTGGTACTGCTACATAGTGCTTTGCAGCCCTGAATGCAGTGCTCTGAACGGACAATGGGCAATTTGAGAAGATGAGGAGGTTTCACAAAGGGCAGAGCCCCAGGGGCCGCAGTTGGGCTGACCTTGGCCTCTTCAAAACCCGACTCTCCCAATGGATGGTGAGAGGTGCAGGCGGTGCTGTTTCCTGTGCATGGAGCTGGGTGGGGCTGCCCTGGTCAAGCCTAGTGTCACATGAAAAGTCCTGAGTGTCCACAGGCTGAAAAACAGAGGTGCCTGTATCTTGGGAGAAGCTCTCAGCTGCACCTCGGCTCTGGAAGAGGCCACTGTAACTGAAGATTCCAGTGTGGAACCCATCTTTGCAGAGATATTTAATGGGCAACATAAGGCCGCAACTGGTGCTTTGTGCTACACACAGGCCAAGCAGGCCGGCCGCCTTCTCTCTGCATAAACTGCTGGCTGGATTTCAGTGATCCTAGCAGACGTGCAAGACTGTGATCACAGGCACTCGCCAGGGCTTTCTCTCCAACCTGCACCCTATGGGAAGCTTCTCACTCTCAGCCGGGAGCCCAGGGGATGGAGGGGAGATGGCCCTGCACTTGGGCTCCTCTGCATTTCCATGAAGGACAGGGGCTGACAGGCAATGGCTCCATGCAGACTTTCAGGCGGTAGCCTCAAATTCCCTGGTCTGTACTGTATGACGCCCTCTTGATTAGCTGTGCACACTCAGCAGCAGTCCCCTGCTGGGAAGCATCCCGGAGGCACTCCAGGGTCCCTCTTCTGTCTGGCGTCCTGGCAGGAAGCACCCAGGGCCCTTCTCGACTCTGGGACAGGTAACAGAATTCTATGCCAAGAAAGACCTCAGGTCTAGTTCTCTCCAAGATCTAGGTGCCTCTATCCATCCTCAGCCTGCTTTAAGGTCATGGAACTTGTGCAAAGTTGTACAGCAAGTGTGCAACAGGCTGGGACAGCACAGTAGCTGCCCTTTCAGCCCCCAGCTCCAAACCAGATTGCTGTCCCCTAAACACCTGCTGAGAGTGACCTTCCAAGTTCACACTTGAATACAGCACAAGGAAAGACTGTAGACACCCGCCCACTATCTAGAGAAGAAACACAGAGAGGCCCTTCATCCAACAAAAGCAGGGAAATTAAATGATGTCTCAGATATGCTGGCTTCTCTCCCGGTGTAATAGCCTCTGGCCCCTCTGCGTGCTGAGAGGTGCAATCCTATCCCACAAGCCTTGGTGCCTGGGGTGGGGTGGGGGAGGCCCATGTGCGAGAGTCTGAGCTACCTGTACAGCTGGCGTCTCTGCGGCAGGTCCTCCGTGCTCAGGAAGTAGCTGCAGAGATGGTGAAGGTGCACAGGTTAGCTGCCCATTGCATGCCAGGTACCACCCTCCAGTGTTCTAGTGAGGCCCCGATTCCCTGTTGACACCAGGTACCCAGCCACACCTGCAGTCAGGGAAGGTAAGGCCAGTGCAGACTCTTCAGCCCCAGGTGCCTCCTACCCTGGACTTGCCTTGGAGCTTGGGTCCTGTTGCGGGGTGAAGAAGGGGTGACGGGCACCTGCATTTGGATGTGGGAGTGTCTTCCCTAGATCAGTGACCATCTGGAGGTCAAAGGTCTCAAACACTTCCTCTGTGTCCAGGCACGAAGCCTGGTCCAGTAAACACTCACTGGCTGACTTCACTGAGACACAGATGCTGCCCTTGTGTGAATGGGAACAAAGCAGCTTTGGGGTGCTGTGTTCAGGTCTGGACTCCTAACGTCTCAGCTCAATCCTATCTCTGCTGAGTCCAGTCTGAATAACCTGGGTTATTCAGGACTTAGCTGCTCTGACTCTGGGGTATTTCATTTGAAAATGGAAAAGCAAGGAGCCCACCCTGTGTAGATATAAAGTGAGATAATCTTGCAATGCACCCGGCATTGAGCAGAGGACAGCAGAGACTCAGGGAAGATCCATGCAACACTGCCACCTGGCTGACAGGTGTCACCTCACAGGGCTGGGGCAAGCTTCACTCTGTGCCCAGCAGTGTTGGAGGCTGGGCTATTGAGATGGACATGTATGCCTGGACAGCTGGTGGGCTGTGATTGCTGCCCAGTCTAGGAGCACAGGTGAGCAGAAAGTGCAGATGGGTCCTGCTGGTCGGGAAGATGGGGCCCCAGGACACAGCCCATTCTCACTCACATCTTATTGAGCTTCTCATCGTAGGACAGGATCTTGGTCACGTCCCAGTCCCCAGAGGTGATGGACTGGATGTTGTCATTGCTGCTGTTGGGCTGAAACACAGAGAGGGAGTCAGGAGCTGATGAGGACCAGGCTGCCACATCCATAACAGGTAACTTCATGTCACCCTGACGCCCATCCAGCCCCCTCTGCACTTGGCAACAGGAGTACTGTGGCCCACGACTCTGTTGCTTGTGTCTGGTACCCATCCCAGGCCCTCCAACTGCACCACAAGTACCTTGGGTTTGAATGCTGCTATGTGGCATGTGCCTTCTTCTCTGTGACTCCAGGCCCAGGAGGGAGGAGGGAGAGGAGAGGGTATGGGTGCATGAGATTGGGCAAGAAGACAGCACAGGCATAGAGGAGGGAAGACGGGCAGTCTGCTTTGCACTCTGTGGTCCTTGCCAAGGCTGGGTGGGGTGGTATCACAACTGGTGTGTGATTGGCACGCACTTTTCCCACGAGCTTCGAAGAGCCAAGCTCCACCATCAGAGCTATGAAATGTCATGGGAGAGAGGCATTTCCAGTAGTGACTTGGGGCATGAGGTGCAGCTGTTGGCAGATTTCTGGACAACAGGCACCCCAGGGAAGGTGCCCAAGCAGATGGAGATTAACATAGGTGAAGAAGGGCTGGTGGCCAACAGCCTGGGACCACAGACTGGGAGCGGGGTGTGGGCAAGGAGCTGAGGGGTGGATGTGGACTTGGGGGTGATAGTCGCTGGGTTCCCAAGGGCTCCTGGGCTCAGAAGCCAAGGCCCAGGGCAGGAGTGGGCACTGTGGGTGGGGTGGGGCCGGCTTCCTGCTGGTTGTGGATAGGGGTTCAGTAATGCTGATCATCTGAATGAATTTAGAAATTGAATAAAAACATCTAATTTTAAAAACCTCTTATTTCAAATGATCCCAAATGAGAAAATGAAGGAATGTGGAGCTAGAGAATGAAGACCAGAAAGGTAAACAGATGAAGACAGTTTGCAAGTTGTCTACAGGTCATGTGGCTAAGTGGCTGGAAAATGAGACTCTTTTTCTCTGAGAAGCTGTGAGTCTCCCTTACTCCCTCCCAGCTGCTCTTACATGGGTGTTTTTGGGATTTTTCTTTTGGAATTGGTTTTTGGGCCACGTCATAAACACAAGCCCCCTACTTCAAAGCCATAGACTATTTTGATGGATCTTTTTCCTATTCACCTTTCCTGACCTCAAATAACTTTAAATGATTTCAAAATGAACCCAAGGGAGGATGGGGTTTGCAACATGGAGAAGCCACAAGTTTATATCCACTTGTGCACCTGCCATCTCAGGCAATTTGTGAAGTTTAGCGCCAGCAGCACCTCTCTGATCCCCTAAGGGCAGGGACTGTGGTCACTATGAAGCCCACTTTGGGGTCTGAGTCTATGCCTGCTAATCGCTGATGTCCTGGCTCAGTGATGCTCAGTGATAACCATCAGGCCCTGAAGTCAGGCGCTCGGTGAGTGCAGCCGCCTCATCATAATGCCACAGCTGCCTCTGGCCCCAGGGACGACGGGAGGGCATTAGATGGCCTCCTCAAGGGCAGGGCCCAAGGTAAAGAAGGTCATCCAAAGTCCTGGCTGTACCCGGCCATAAGCCCAGGACCCTCTGCTGGTGCCAGATATGCCCTTTCTCATGCTAAAGTTCTTGAGCAGAACCTGCCTGCTGGGAATCTCTGCCCTTGGATCTGATGGCTCTACAGCTCTTGTACACCCTTGGATCCACTGAAAGTGTCACTTCTGGGTGTCCATGGAATCCTGGAAAGGGCATGCATGCTCAGTTGTGAGAGCTGCTCCAACAGACACAAACTTCAGGATTCACCTGGGACGATGACACTGTGATGTGATAGAATTTTCCTCGTCCCCCCTGTGGGATCGCTCTGACGAAGAAAAACTTTCGGCCATCCTTGGAGAACACGGGCTCTTCATTCTGCAGACAAAGACAAGAAGCTGAATCAACACGGTGCTCCAGGTTATTCTGGAGAGGGTGAGCAGGACACTGTGCACCCTGAGTTCATTTTCTCCATAATTTCTAGGGAGAAAAGCAGTGGGGAGAAGGACGCTGTGTAGATCTTTTCTCTCCTTAGGGAGCATGAATCAAACTTTCAGTTTTCTAAAAAAAGAGGAACAATAGGGAATTAAGAGGCCACAGCACAGGCAGAGGCAGACAAAAGAGGGTCCCTTAGTCTCTGAAGCACCAGCGGGAGGGGGGACGAGTGCGCACCCTCACACTCACCTCGAAAACCACGCGCTCCCCAAGGCAACACTGGCCACAAACCCAGGCTGCACCCCAACGTTCTGCAGTGGTCTTTGTGACCAGCCAGGAGGAACATAACCCTGAACAATCACAAACATGATTTTGTCTACAGAATAAATTCTCTTCTTTCAATCTTGACTTTGTTCTTTTCTTTAACATAATCCATTTTGCACTGAATAGCTCATCAAGAAGACAAGGGGAAAAGAAGGGGCGACATCCATAGATCGTAAAATGTAGACAAGAGGAAAGAGGAGGAGCTTGTCTACAGCTACACTAGCATGGGGGAAGCTCAACCTAAGTTGGCACTGGACAAGCCTGCAGCTGGAGCCCACACAGTCACTGTTGTCTGGAACCAGAACCAGCATTCCCGGTCTTGCTGGGGCCCCAGACTCAGGCTGGGTTTACGGGCAGAGGAGGTAGCACTGTACCACCTCTGCCTGGCTCCCCAAAGCCAGGACAGTCAGGTTCCCAGGCTCCAGCGGCCCAGGGCAGGGTGGCTGCTACTGTGATGGGTGGACAGGGACTGTGCAACAGCAGCAGCCGAGCAGCTCAAGTTTGGAAGTTTCCATCTGTGAACACCAATTAGTTGGCTACCATATATATTTTCTGATTCAAGGGGCTGCATGCTAAGGCAGATGAGAACAAACGGTAAATAAATCTCAGCTGGCACAAGGAAAACTCATTTCCCCGCAGTGAATGATCACATGCAAATACAGTATGCCCAGAGAAATAAACTATCATGTGATTAAAATGACATTTAATCTTCATGAATATTTGCAATAAAATGAAACCTTTAATCTGCAAATATTGATTTTTCTATTTAGAGCTGGAAGCGTGGTATTTAAAAGGAGAGGGAATGGAAAGACCAGCCGTTAATTTGGCCCTTTCCATGTTCTTCTATTTACTGACAGCAGAACAGACAAGGTGATGTTACTTCAGTTTTCTGGGGGAAATGTTTGCACTTTGTGCAGAGATTAAGCATAATATAATTAATTCTGGCCAGAACCATTGTGTTTATTACAAGTCCTCAAAGTTCTGATCCCATCTTTACCATGGACATCAGGAAGGACTCTGTCTTCAGCCTCTCTGAGACTCAGTTTCTCACCCACTGTAAACCTAGTTTTAGTGGCCAAGCGCAGAGCTTTTTGGCCGGGCTTGGATTTTAATGCTGGTTCTGCTTCTCATTTGGTTTGGAGGCAGCATTTCTGCAACTCCATTCACAGCAGGTCTACGAGCATTGAGTCCTTTACACTGGTGACGACATCTTCCTGAGCTATGTGGAGCGTTTCTGCCAGTTCTCTCCACAGTTTACATGTGCTTATCTTCTCCAACTTCCCAGGCCAAATTTTTATATCACAAAACCAGAACTCTGTTAAAAGAAGAAGAACAGTAGGAAATGGACCCACAGGACTCCGTGCAAGCAAAGCAATCGCTCAGGGTTCCACGCCCATGGTGGTGGTGATGGCAGGGTCCTGGTGACCCACTTTCCACACAGGGCAGCAGCAGTGAGTCTGTGCGTGGGGGGGAACCTGGAGAGGGTGCCCGGCAGGCATCCACACACATCGGCTCTTCTCCTTGGGTCCTGGAAGGTCCCTGTGGGGGTCCACACTGGGGACTCTGGAAGGAGGTGGAAGAACAGTGGAGCAGCAAGGCTCAGGGAATGATCACAGCAGCCTGAGGACAGCAGCCCCTCCTGCTGTTCATGGGTAATCGGGGGACTGGCTGATCTGAGCAGACCGGGTTTCCCTGGGGTCTGCAGATTCACAAGATGTGCCTAGGCCAGGCCATTCGGGGCAAGCTCCTGTGACCCCTGGAGATGAGTGGGTGGAGGGAGTGTGTTCTTGGTGAGTATCCCCTTCAGGGGTCCCCAAAGCCTTTGAGGAGAAACACTCTGGCCCGAACAAGGAGCAGGCAGCTTTGAGGCCGGGGATGGCAGGTCCAATCAGACACGAACTCCTCGGCTGCCCTACAGGATGTCATGACGTTGCAAAGGAGGTGGGAGCACTGCAGGTGATCTTTAGAAAGCTAGGTTCATGAATTCTTTTAGGAAAACAGGATCGTGATGAGAAGCTGTTTGAAATTGGCCTTCCCCGAGAAGCAGGGACTCCGATTTCCATTCAGCCCTGGACCTGAGGTCTGCAGGGTGGTTAGGCACATGGGGCCACTTGCTGTGGGCTGGGGGACACTCCTTACCTGTGCCACAGGAGGGTCCTGGCTGCTGGCTGCCTCCCCCAGCACCATAGCGACACAGAGGGGCCACTCCCATCACACCACACAGTGCTTTAAGCTCAAGACCGCATTCGTATTTTTAAGTAGTTGTTCTTTAAGCAGTTAGCTGTTTGCTCAGTAAATACTTTCCAGTTTACATTTTAAACCCATAAGAGTAGTTATTTTAATTTATGCTATTTTTTAAGGTTTGCTTTGAATTTCCTAAGAAGGACCTGGTGTCCCAAATCCCAGGGAGAGGCTCCCCTGTGTGGGGCTGGTGCTCTGTCATGGGTGATGGGAAACACAGCCAATAGATGTAGAAGGATTCGCTGGTGACCCTGGATCTGTGACCACTCTGGCAGTGGAGGGGGGGCGGTCCATGACCTATCCTGGTCCTGGGATCACAAGCTGCTCTCCCTCAGGGCTGATAGCTCACCAGCCAGGATGCCCAGGTCCTTGGGGGAGTGTCTTGGGGCGACAGGAAGACAGGACTGGGAGCCTCTATCTTCCCCTTCCTGCCTGTCCCCGACACACTGCTGGCCTCTCCTGGTGTGGCCCTTGCTGCTGTGCAGAGTCACCACCACCCAGGCAGGAGTCCCATGACACCACCACAGGTCATTCTGCTTTTCCGTATGTTGAGGACAGGCAGTGAGGCTCAGTTTTCGAACACATCCCTCATCTCCAATTTTAGTATATGTGCTGCCAAAGAGAGGACATGTTTTGTGTTTTTTTTGGTACCAGGGATCAAACTCAGGACCTTGTGCTTTCGAGGCACGCGTTGTAACCACTGAGCTAAATCCCCGCCTCCCCATCTCCATATGTGGGAAGTTGTGCACACATCTCAGTTCTTAGCTCAGACTACATTGTCTCAGTGCTGGCACTTGGCCCGATTTTAGAATTTTATTGAGGTAAAAATGAACATGTTATAAAATAAAAATATTTTAATAAAAGCGAATAATTCAGTGCACTTGGTAAATTCACAATTCTGTGCAGCCACCACCTCTGTTCTGAAACACTTCCATCACCCCACGTAAAACTCTGCACCCACTAAGCTCGACTCCCCACTGCCCGGCCAGCTTTCTGTCTTCATGAACTTCTCTATCCTGGGTATTTCATGTAAACAGACACACTGTAGGTGGCCTTTGTGTGCAACTCATTTCACGTGGCTCATGCTTTTGCAGAACTATTACAGTGGCAGAAGGTAGAAGCCACCCAAAGCTCTCAACAGACAGGCAAATGGTGGGGTGCCATATGTGACCATGAAAGGAATGATATTGGAACATGCCATGTATAACATGAGAGGGGTTGATTCACTTTTTATAATAAAAAATTTTAAATCGACAAAATTGTTTATATTTACTAGGCATAACATTATTTTAAAGCACATGTGTATCATGGAATGGCCACTTTGAGCTAGTTAACATATGCATTTTCTCATAGACTTATCATTTTTCTGTGTTGAGAACCACATAAAATCTATTCTTCTAGCTATTTTAGTTGTGTGTGTGTGTGTGTGTGTGTGTGTGTGTGTGTTTTGGTACTGGGGATCGAACTTGGGTCCTTGTGCTTATGCAGCAGGCGGCGAAACCACTGAGCTAAACCCCTGGCCCAGTTACGTGGTTTTTTTTTCCTTTTTTTTTGGTACCAGGGATCGAACTCAGGACCTTCCGCTTGCAAGGCAGGCAGCGAAATGACTGAGCTGAATCCCTGGCTCTCTTCTAGCCATTTTAGAGAATAGAACACCTTGTCATTACACACAGCCACCAGTTTCCTTCAGTCTGACTGAAACTATTCCTCTGTTGGAAAACACTGGCAGGGGCTGAAAAAGGCAACCCTGTGTGCAGAAGTGAGAGTGTATGTGTATGAGGCTTCTGCACGGCCGCGGGGCTACGACAGGTTTCGAATTCCATGGCCAAAAGAAGCCCAGAGTCAGGGTGCAAAGATGTTCTTGAAGGGCCACAGTTGATAGGCATGCTGGTCAGCTTCAGTTACTCCCATAAACAGCATTTACCATACCAATAAAGAGCGTGTCTGAGCCTGGCCACCGTAAGGTTTAAGACTTAAATCTGGTTTGATTTTGTTTCCCATAGAATTTTAAGACAATCTCCAACCCCTTAGGTGGGACAAAAAGAAAATAACTCTGCCCCTCTTCTTTCTGATGCAAGAGTGTGGAATGAGACAGAAAGAACTGAAGGAAAAAAGTACCAGGCTTGAGGCTTTTCTTTCTGTGTGTAAGCTTAAGCTAAAAAAGCCATCACAGGCAGGTTTGCATAAGCTTTTCGCCATCCCTTTGTTATTTTGTCTTCGTGATGCTGTGGATGGAACCCAGGACCTCATGCAGGCTGGGCAAGTGCTCACCACTGGACCACACCACTATCCCCCTGTTCCTTTCAGTCTCAAGCTCCTAGGCCCTGTTCTAATGTCCCTTTCTGTGTCTGAGTAGGGATAAGAACTCAGGGGGAAGTTTTGAGGAAGGGTCTGGCTGAGTCACAGAGGCATCTACTCCAGATTAAAACAAACAGGAGTATCAATCCCATTTTTACTTTCTTTCACCATCACAGACTAGATCTGGGGAACCCATCATTCTGAATTCCCCCAAAGGTGTCACCCAGCTGGGAACAGAGGTCTCTCCAAGCCTCCTGTTTGAGGTGCCAAACTGTGGTCTTCCCACTAGCTTCCAGGGAACAGAGTTTCTGGAGGAGCCCGGAGCTGCCAGGGAAGGTGAGGATGAGACAGGAGCCCCACATCCTTATGTGTTGCTAGGTTACTCTTCTTAGGTGACTGGAGAAGTGTCAGAACCCCAGAAGGACCCAGTGGAGGGCAAGGGGGTCAGTTGGAGGTGATGGTGAGGACCAGGAGGGGACAGTTACCTGTCTGTGGAGCCAGGCTTCACTTTCATCCTCATGTTTCTGCAAAAAGGAAATAACAGCATTAGCACAGGGTTCTGTGACCAGCGGCACAGAAGGCAATTTGACTTCACCAGCACAGTGGCTGGACAGGCACAGGGTGGCTGGCACAGGGAGCAGGTAATGCTGCTCTGCTCTTTGTCCCTGATGTGGCTCAGCACCCAACATGAGTGTCCTTGAACAAGAAGAATGCCACTGTCCCCAACAACAAGGACAATCCACTGCAGTGAGGAAGCCTGCAGAAGATGGTGGCATCTCTACTACCTGGGGTCTCTATTGGCCACCATGTGCCCACTTGGGGGTCCCCACTGGTGGCAAGGTTCCTCAGAGGCGGATCACACTGCAGGAGTCCTGAGGTGTTGTAAACCAGAACTCTCTACAAGGGTTTAAAAGCTGTATGACAGTCCATCTCCCAGAAGAGCCCGGAAAGGCGCACAAACAAAACAAAAATAAAACCCCAGCCCAGGACACAGCTGCTGGGCCTACACGGTGTGTCCCAAAGTCCCGGGCCTGCTGCTTGTGACATCTGACCTGGCCCCGGGCAGGGTTGTGCCCCAGGCTGCATGCACAAGTTGGGCACGGAAGACAAGTGGCCAGGGAGTACTTGCCACACCAGCCCTGGGCCTCCTGCCTGCCCGCCTGTCCCTCTGTGCCTTCTGACACCCAGAAGAATAATCTGAATCTGCTCCAAGTGACTTAAAAGGGAAGAAAATTCCTGGCCAGCTCAGCAACATTACTCCTAGGCACAAACTACTGTGATTTTCTGCCATCCCTAGCCAGCGCAGTGGGAGCTGCTCTTCAGAGTCCTTAAGGGAACCTGCTTACGGAGCCTGTCCCCTTCAAAGGCCTGCCCGAGGCTGTGGGTTCATCTTTCAAACTCTACACCAGCTGGCTCACTTCTCAGGGGCGTGGGGGCCAGGCAAGCTGCGTTTCCCAGGCTAGGGTCCAACTTGCAATTCTCTTGCCCCAGCCCCCAGAGAGCTGGGATTATAAGCATGGGTCACCATGCCCGGCTTCCAGCCTTTCTTACTTTCATTCCTCCTTGCTCCCTCTTTTCGTCTTTCACTCTCTTTCCTACATTTGTCTCCTTTCTAACTACGCACTGTCACTGTACATGTGTTCTGGCCTCCCCAGGACCTGCTGGATTGGGAGGGAGGTCCCTGGACCCCCAGAGGCAGGGGAGGAGGGAAGAGCAGAAGTGGTCCTGGAAGCCTGGGCTCCCACCTGAGCCAGTTCCCACCCCTCCTTGAGCACCACCCCAGGAACAAGAGCACTCAGGGATCGTGCAGCTGCAGGTCCATGGAGGCGCCTCTGGCACTTCCAGGGTACAGGTGAAGGGTGCACAGATGGGGGTGCAGGGATTAACATGGACTCTGGGCCTAGTGGCTCCCCCGGGGTTTTCACAGTGGTACCAGATTTACCCACCAGGTGGCACCAAAACTAGAGGCCTGGACCTTCAGCAGGAGCTGCAAAGGGGCAGCTCAGGCCCAAAGGGGCTCTGACGCCACCTTGCCGCTTCCTGCCTCAGTCTGGTCCCATTCCCATTGTACCTTTGTGCAGACCCCCGTGGTGGCATCGCAGAGGGTCAGGATGGACACGTTCTGCGCCCGGTTCAGCCAGGTCACGGCGACCTTGGTGCTGGTGGCCCACTTCACCATGGTGATGTAGTACTCCCTGCAAACAGGCCAAGGCAGGAGTGAGCAGGGTGCCTGGGAGCAGGAGACATTGCATCCCAGCCCAGACACAGGGCAGCCTGCAGTGAGGGTGCACAGATGGCTACCAGGCTCTGAGTGGGGGTTATGGTGGATGCAGTGGGCACAAAATGGGAAACCGAGTTACCAGCACGAGGCCTGAGACCTGAGTCACTTGTCCGCCGATGCACCTCATACCTATAGGGCCAGGTGGCTGCTTGGAGCTGCTTCTGGGCTGGAGGTCACCTGGCCTGTGGCACACACCACACCCACTCACCACACCACACACGGGACACCACACCCTAGGCAGGCAGAGGGGGACAAGGGGGAAGCAGGGGGCCTGAGAGCTCAACTCTGCAGACCTGGCTGTTCAAGGCTCTCTGCTCTCTTCTCTCCTCCTCCTTAAGACAAATACCCAGGGGTATCACAGCTAATTAGGGAAACTGGTTCATGTTCTGGGCTTCCAGTGACCTTGGCTTGAAACTCTCAGTGCCACATGCCAGATTCTGGCCAAACCTGAAAATACCCTGGGGCTTTGTGCCATCTTCTATGAGTTTTTGAGACTTCTGGGCTCTGGTGATTAATTCCAACCTCCAGAGCCCTCCAAATACTGGCTTTTAAAAATCCCCAATTTCATATTTAAGACAAAGAAGAAAACGTCAAGAAAATGAGTGCTCAAAATAAGTATCTTTAGGTGACTTCCCAGAATGTTCTACAAGCCAACTAACCCTACCTCAGTAACAGTGAACCTTTTAGAGACGGGTGCCCAAACTGTAACCCCAAATCCATTATTTTTCTCAAAGTGCCAACACTGCAATTAAACCTGAATATGGAAGTTTTAGTTTAGAAAAAAACCACTTATACATTAACATCTTTTGTCTTAAAAGAAAAACAACACATGTGCCATAGGTTTTCTACCACTGACCTACCCTGTGTCTATCTATAAGAGCTGCTGTTCAAAATGACTGCCTTGTGGTCTTACAGGATCTTTATCTCCAAAGAGGTAAAGTATGTCTTTATGCAGCACAAGTGCAGCACCTTGAGTGGGCAATTCCTAGCAAGCTGAGAAGGACCCTCCCTGCACCAAATAATTATTTCCACCAGAGGGGACTAAATACCCTGGTTAACTGAGGGATAGTCCCAAGCTTCAGTTAGGACTAAGCCTCAGCTTACCAGGAAGCTAAGTTGCTGGGTCACACATTTCCCAAGTCTACCTGTTAATCAGTGTTTTTGGCAAGTTAGCCTAAATCAGGGTAAATATGCAAGCAGAATGAACACACCAGGTCTGGGCTGGAGCCTCTGACTCAGGGGGTTCTGTGGCTTGGGGCCGGCAGGAATGGGAATCCCCTAACATGTTCCACTGCAGCCTGGGAAGCTTGCTGAGGATGTAAGAGGTAAGGAAGATCCAAAATGTATACACAGAGAATAGGGCATTCAGGAGTCGCCCAACTCTCATGATCTTCTACCTTCCCAGTTGGGACCTTTCTGGAACACAGCCATGTCTTGGATGCCATCTGTCCCAGTCCACACACTCTGGGCCCTGGGCATGGCTTTGAGAGGCAGTGTGTCCTCTCTGGCAACTCCCAAAAGTCCTGGTTTGCTGCCAGCTTCACTGCCCCAAGAGTTAGGATGCCTTTCATGTGGAATTGGTCATCTCTGAACATCTGCAGGCGTCACCATTTTTATTCACTTGGTCCTTAAAAGTATTTCAAGATCTGTGCCTAGATCTTGCTTCCCATGGAACACTTTTTATTTTCAGGGATGTCCTGGCTGGTCTCCGAGTTTACCCTGGATGGAGGTTGGCAGTTTGCAGGGCTCAGGGGCTGACTGAATGCTGACAGCGACTGGCTGGAGCAAATTCAGGAGCTGGGTGCTCCCTTCCAGGACCAGGGAAGAGGCCTGCACCCAGAAGAGTCACCTGAGGTCACACGATGGCCTGCAATTACTCTGCATTATACCCTGTCTCTGTGTACACTCCACGAAGGAGAAGGGAGAGCCCCTGGGACAAGGACTTTTCACGTGTGCTTCACACGACTCAGGGACAGCCCCATTTCTGTTTCTGTGAGTTGAAAGCACTCATCCCATGCTTGGTTTTCATGGTGATCTTTTGCATGAATGAGCTTCATACAGGCCAAAAATGATCATGTTATTCTCAATTTTTCTGCTCTAATTTAGTATATGAAAAGCTAGAAATGGCAACAGAACTTGGAGACATAGCTTCTCTTTTTTGGCAATAAACTCCTTAGCAGTGGTTCTGGATCAGGGCACCAAGAAACACCACCAGGCTTGGTGCACTGGGTGGCTTAGGGTGGCACTGATAGCAATTGTATGGCCCATGCAACCACCTGATCACTCAAGTTGGAAGTGCTTGGTCACAAACACAGTGGGAAAGCCACTACCAACCTGGAGTTGAAGTGAGGCAAGGACATTCCCCTGGAGAGACAAGGAAATTAGCATGGAGAGGCAAGGCATTACCCTGGAGAAGGTTATAACTTCTGCCCATGGTACCCACAGGCTGTCTTTCTCTGTTCACTAAAAATTGTCCATTTAAACACAGGAAGTGCTATATTCTCTTCTCATTTTACTTTCCTAGTTTGTATGTAGCATGAGGCATGTGGTATGGGGGACAAAAGTAATGGCAATAATGAGGACAGGTGCACGTGGCCCAACTATGCCAAGTTCCTAAGGAGCCTGGCCTGGAGGGGTCCCCACCCATGATGATGGGGTTCAGTGGCGCTGGGACTGCTCTCTGGGCTGGTCATTTTACACAGAACTCAAACGTTCAGTCTCTCCACTTGTATAATAAGAACTTAAAACACTCGTGTCATTTTAGAGATTTTTATGATGATGAAATATGAGAAATATTCTTCCAATCTTGAAATGATAGAAATAATTACAAGACTCCATAAAGACTGGTAATGATATAATGAGATTTCCATAAGTGAACGAATGTCAGGAAGTGCCCCACCTCCATCAGTAAGTGCAGAAGTCCACCTTGCCTGTGGCTTCTGATCCTGTCGCTGGGACCCTTCACCCAACTCGCCCTCCATGCTGTACAGTGGTCTCATCTCTTGTCAGCGCTTCCTGACTCCATTGAGTGCACTCATGACTAGAGTTGGCTTCTATCAGTTTGAGGTAGAGACCATCTATTCCAATTTTTTGTAGGGTTTTTATCATAAATTCATGTTGGATTTGGTCAAATGCTTTTTCTGAGTCTATGGAGATAATCATATGGTTTTTATCCTTGGCTCTATTGATATAGTGTATTACATTGATTGATTTTCATATATTGAACCATCCCTGCATCCCTGGGAT